TTTACAGCAGAAATAGAATCCCTTTATTCCCTTTGCATCTTGCTCCTACTAAACCCCACTAAGAATTGGGAAGAATTTCAACCTGATCCTCTGCCTGAAATGTTTGTTGAAAGGGAGAAGACAAATCTGTATGAATAATTGGGAGAAAAAAAAAACAACAACCAACCAGACTTGCAGCTCACATATCCCAAAATACACATTCCCCCCAATAATTTATTTGTTCACCTTAGCAAGATTTCATATACATTCAGTATTTTGTTCAGGGAAATGACCAGCATGGACTGTTCAAACATGATACAGGAAAAAGAACACAGGAAATTCAATTACACTGAATACCACATTCAGAAAATGCAGTGCCTGTTTCAGGAGAAATCTTTTAAAACCAGCCAAACTCGTACAACATGCAGGCAAAAAGCTGCTGCATTCAGAAGAACAAAAAAAAAACCAAAAAAAACCCAAAAAAATTTTTGCAACAAAAGACTGGCAAAGCAAAAGACAAAAAAAAAAAAAAAAAAAGAAAAGCCCAAACCAGCTTGTGTACAATTAATTCCCACAGTTGTACTGTCAGGAAGAATTGAGTATTCAGTGAAATTCGGGGGGGGTTTCTATCATTGGCTGAGTGGACTTGATTTGAAAGTGGAAATCTGCTGAAATGCTGGGCAGGTTTGTGTTTCCCACTTCAGAAAATGGTTTGCAAGGGCTGAGTTTTGGCAGCTGATAAAAGAAATTTGGATTAATACAAGAAAGTCTAATTCTTTGGAGGAGACGTTGAGCACTGTAAAATCCCATTTATTTTCCCTATTAACACTTGGGGGTTTTTTAGACTCTGGAGTAGATGATGATGTTGCCCTGATGATGAAGGAGAGGCTTTGGAGCTCAGAGCTGCACTGAGACACAAATGTGCATCAGGCAGAGCTCTGGGCCCTGCTGGGACTGACAGATGTGTTATTTCTGGGGTGATGGTTGCTGTCCATAGCTCTCCTCCTCAGCAATTCATTTCCCCTTAGCTCACATTTGCTATTTTCTCCTTCTCTGTCACTATGAGAAATATGCAGCGTGCTGAGCAGAGAAGGAATGACATTTCACTCCAATGCCTGAGACAAATGCTCCATCTCCTCCCAGGAAATCAGAGATTCAATTACATCTCTCAGGCTGGGGGGGAAGATCTGTATTTTAATGCACCACAAACAACCTCTGTAGTGTCTCATGCCTTTTGTAACACTGTCCTAGACAAAATACGAATATTTGAGTGTGTGAGGTGCAGGCAGAGAGCAGATTTTGCTGTGAGAGCAGCTCTCTCATAACCTGTTGGAGTTTTTTTTTTCCTTCTGGCAAAAGATAACACTGGTGCAGGTCCCAGATTTGCCTGGAGCTAAGTGCAACACTTTGAAAACCAACTGGCTTTTCTCTTTGGCTCTGCTGTCAGAAGAGATCATCCAGGAATAATTGGTGTCAACAGCCTGTCCCCTCGAGTTCATTTTCACCATTTCTTGCTTATCCAAAGCACACTAAGACAGGAAAGGGGATCAAGGTTCCTCTGGGTAGGATGAGGAGTTAATTACCCAGCGTGGACTCAGCCTGGGACAGCTGAAGCCCTGCTGGATGAATCATTGAGTTGCTCTGTGTCTCAGTAGCTTTATTTTTAAATGAAGTTCCCAATAAAATCCCACTGAGACAGGAGCAACAGCAGCTCAAGGCCAACAGGCACACCTAGAACTGGGCAATTCCACTTCAGCAAAGCAGTCAGAGCTTTTTAAACTGAATTCAATCAGTACAAGGTGCTGCAGCCTGGCACTGTTACCTTTCAGAAAATTGAGAAAATGAGGCAGGGAAATTTTGCAAAATTTTGTGAAATCCATTTTCTTAGTCCAAGCAGAGAAGCAAGAAATATTCCTGGCTTAATCTTCCTTCTTTTCAGTGCTGTGAATTCTCAGGACATTAAGGCCTGGCAAAGGAGAATATTCTTTTACACAATGCAAAATTCATCCTTGGAGTTGGCAGAGCGAAATAAAGAAGATAAAAATGTGAAGACATTTATTTGGATAGTGGGCAGAACTTAAATATTTGGGATTCGAATAATCTTGCAAAGTACACAAAGCCTCAAAAACATCAGCTAGTAGATCTGAATTGAGTGTGGAAACTGGACTACTGAACTTTCCCTGCCCTGGCATGAAGAGGGGTTGGGGATCTGCTCCACCTCAGGCTGTACAAATTTAAAATCATCTCTGTGATGCTCCAGCTCTCAGCTCTTTGCAGCAGAGACTCTGCTCCGCCCAACATGGAAATCTTGGCTGCCTCTGCCAGCAGAAAACCCTGAGGATGGTGGGATGGCAGAGCCATCCCCTGGAGGTTTGAGCAGGACACATCCACTGCCAGGTCAGGGTGGGTCCCTGGATGTGGCTTCGAGAACTCCTGGCACTCCCCTGCTCTCATTTCCCATCTGGCCACTCTCTGGTCCCTGCTCTGTGCTCCTGCCAGCTTTCACACCACACAATCCTGATGCTGGGAAGGTTTTTACAAGTGTTGATTGATGTCCAGCCTCTGGGAAAAGCTCTTGTCCCGTTTGAGCTTTTAGACAGACAGATCCATTCAGCCTCTGTGGCTGCAGCTCTTTCACCAGTGCCAAGTTCACTTTAAATAACAGAAAAAAATGGGCTGCTTAAAACTGCACTCTTTTTTTTTTTTTTTTTTTTCTGTTTCCTAGAGCTCCTTCTATGGTTTTTGAGACTTTTCAGTCCAAATATTCACTGACATGACAAGTGCCCCTGACCTTTCTTGCAACAGGGGCAGTTTTCCTGCAGAAATTCTCTGAGGAAGCCAAACAAATGATGTGTTTGTTTTTGCTGGCAATCCTGGCAGCAGCAGAGGTGTGGCTGGGACCAGGCTCACCTGATGCTGAGGGCTGGGAGCTTTTCAGAGTCATTGGACACAGAGAGGTCCTTCATCCTAAAAAAAAAGGATGAAGATGAGACCAAGACTTCATTATTCCACCTCTGTGCCTCACAGGAGAACTGTGCTGCATCCACGTCCATCCTGACACTGCCAGCAGCAGGCTGACTCATTTGTCTTTGTCTCACAGGGTCACATTGTATTGCTGCATCAGGATTGCTCTGGAGTTAAATTAATCCAGTTGTGGCAGCCTCCATATGTAGCTGCACAACAACAACCCCTTGCCTGACACCATGAAACCTCAATAAATCTGAAATTACTGCAGCAGCCCTGTGTAAATCTCCCAGCTCCCAAGGAGAGATGGCCAAAAGGACCTTACTGGTTATAAAACAAGGATTGGTTGTACAATAAGACGGGGTTGGGCAACAAGGGTGTGCAATAAAGACTTTAAATCTTGCTGGTCTTGCTCAATTTAAGGGGTGTTTTTTAAAATGTTTCAAAGTTTGGGTTTTGTGGAAATACACGTCCCACGTATCTGAACCCTGTGAGACTGGAAACCTCAGCCACGAGTCTCATGTGACTTTCTTATGAGATTTCCAGCTTTTCTCCTTCTGCTCTTGGCTTGAAGCACCATGAGAATATTTTCTTACATGGTATTTCCACACTTCTGACTTCAAATTCTAGGCCTGAGGAGCCTTAGGAGTGAGGTGGATTTCTTACTTAAGTTAAAATGGAGATCATACTACAGAATTGTGTTCTGTGAGCGCATAAATAAAAGACACAGGAGACAAATCCTCTTGACATTGGGGACTCCATGCTGAGTGAGAGATAAACAAACAATGATTTCTCATCAGCATCACCAAGGTGCTGTTTCAAGGTCCTGTCTGGTGATAATGACCCTTATCTGGAGCCCTTTCCCTTTTCAGGGCAGTGGATCTTCAGCACAGGAGCTGACACAGACAAGGGCAGGGGCTCTTGTGTTGTTTCAAGGAGCTGAATTCTAACTTGGCAGGCTCAGGAGGAGTTATGTCAAGAGCTGCTTATTTCTAATATTGTACAGAGAAATTCCTCCCACTATTTCTTCCAGATGCTGGCCATTTCATTTATTTTTTTATTTGGATTAGCTGTATTAAAATATAACATGCTTCCAAATGCTTTGCTCCCAAATTCCCAAGGGATGGCCCTTTCTCATGGGGATGGATGTCCTTAAGCCTTTTAACATGCTTAACTCCCCCTGCTCAGAACAAGGGGAAAGTTCCTGACTCCAGAGTACCCAGGATCTCACAGAAAGCTTTGAGCAGTTGGTATTGAAGGAGTCAGGAAAAGGAATGTAGCAAAACACTGGGCAGGGAGACAGGAAAAATCTGCAGCTTTTCCAGTGACTGTGGCACTGATCTGGCTATTGAGCACCTGAGCAAGGAATTACTGAGCCTTTCAGCAGGTTCCTGATGGACTCAGAAGATTAAAAAAAAAAAAAAAAAGGTGAATGCAAGTGAGCTCTTTGAGCCTTATTTGATGAGGACTTACCTAGTTCTGGGTTTTATTAGACCCGCATCAAGGGATGGTCTGAACAAACCAGGGGCACATGCAAATTTTCATTTGGTTTGGTGTAGAGATTAGGGAGGCTGATTGGACAAAAAGGAAAAGTTCTCCTTGGTCTCTGGAGCTCGGTGGAGTGCAGTCACTTGGATCAAGTTTTCCTTGGCAATGGAGTTGACTGAAATCCACAGCTGAGGTTTGGTTTTGTGGGGAGGGGTGGAATCACAAAATGGAGCTGTCAGAGAGTGTCGGGGCTGAAACCAGCACAGGGTCTTTGTGGTTCTCTCTTTCTCCTCCACTGGCCCTAAATGAGGGCAGTGGAAACTCTGAAAGAGGAGAACAGAGGGATGAATGCCCTTTAAATGCCAGGGGAGCGCCTGGCAGCTGCTGGACCCTCAGGATGCCATCCACTGAAGCCATGCACTGTCTTTGAGGGGCTCCATCCACGCTCCCAGCACTCACAGACATCCCTCCTCGAAAGATTTCCACCTGTCCATACCTTGATCCCTCCAACCAGCCCCACTCCTACCTGCCCACGAAAGCAGCGCCATCCCCACGGCGCCGCCAGCCCCTTACACATCCTCCCCGGCCTCGCTCAGGGACATGGAGTGGATTTTGATGGTTGGCACCTTGCAGCTGTGCTGGAGCAGGCTGCCTGCAGTGCCTGCACAGCAGCATTCCTGCAGGAACCCTTTGCTCTTGGCTTTGGCAGCCGTGCAGTCTCTGGCAGCGGCGCTTTTGGAGGGCGCGGCCGAGAAGATCTTCCACTCGCAGACCCCGTCCGACTTGGAAATCTTGTAGAAGGTTTCTCCTGAGCCCACAGGGATCCTGACCACCCCTCTGCCACTCTCCACGCCCTGGCCAGCAGGATGGTTGAGGTTGAAGCTGGGGGTTTGCTTCTTTGCTGGCTGCTTCCTCAGGAGGCACTGAGCTTTCAGGACGTTCTGGAACGCTTTCTTGAACTCTTGACTGGAGCATGGATAGATGATGGGGTTGATGCAGCTGTTTAAATATCCCAGCCAAAATGTTATTTTAAAAAGTGTGTCCGGGGGTTTGATTGCAGGAAAGAAAGAACCTAAAATGGAAAATACGCAGAGTGTTAGGGCAGAGGCAGTGAGGAATTGCAGGTAACCAAAGAAACTAAAACACTGGGGAAAAAATAAATAGGATTCTGTTCCGTCTTGAAAAAATTAAGGCTGGAAACACAATTCCTGCAGGAACAAGTGTTTCAGGATCTATGGTGTCATGCAATTACATGGGTGTTCCATCAGAAATCGATTCAGGAGAGCTATTTTTTAATTACAAGCATTCTACTCCCATTTACAGCAGGAGGGGCAGCCAGAGGGCTGATTCCACGGATAGATGAAAATTCCTCCTCAGGGACTCTTAATTCAAGATTAATTACCCAAATGACAGCAATATCTTGGAGGTCATCACCAAGGGGCTTCAGATGGCAAGAAAATGACACCATTTCAGAAGGGTTAGAGAAAAGAGGGATTAGAGCTGACTGTGTTACAGCTCAAAGTCTTGGAAGTGATGAAGTGTTGGGTACTGATATTCCCTGAAAACTTCAGAAAATCGAACTATCCACACTCTGCCTCTCAGCTAAATTTGAGAGAAGTTAAAGGAAAGGCTCCTTATATCAAAGAACACTGGGGAGGGGTCTCTTAGGCATCCATGAGATGGGTACATATCGATATTATTTCTATTTCTATTTCTATTTCTATTTCTATTTCTATTTCTATTTCTATTTCTATTTCTATTTCTATTTCTATTTCTACTTATATTTATATTATTTATATTTATACTTATATTTATATTTATACTTACATTTATACTTACATTTATACTTACATTTATACTTACATTTATATTTATATTTACACATATTCTGATATATACTTGCAATCTTACCTTCCAAAGATGATTCAAAGAGCAAGAACTTCAGTGGTTCCTTAGTAAGGAAAATACTCTGGCATTTCTTTTTCTATAGAATTATGAGTTATCTGCTGATTTAAAATCTCAGGAGGGTTTTTCCTGATGCCAAACCTTTGATTTTACTTAAAAAAAAATAAATTCCCAGAAACAAAACTGACTTGTTTTGGAGTTTATACTCAAATTTATAATACACAGGATTTTCAGCACTGACAAATGCTTGCCTTCCTACTTCCCCTGGAAAAACTAAGAATGTGGAAAGAAATTCTGTGGAAGGTTTAGGCATGGATGCATCCTGTGCACTTTAACCACGTCTAGGAGCAGCTTTAAGCCTTGCAGGGATTGATTTGTTCCCTGGAGCTCTCCTGGAAAAGCTGGTCATGCCCTCCGAGGGTTCTGACTGAAATCTGACAGTGCTCAATGCTCCAGCCTTTTTCCTCAGTCTTTGTTTTGCAGCAAACGCTTTCCAGTGGCCAAAGCAATTCCTGGGGTGGTTTTGTCTGGGTGGGGAACGCATCAAAATCCTGCCAGGGCCACTCGCAGTGCAGGGTGACCAATGACCTGCTCACCCCCCCGGGAAATGGGGATTCCTCCTGTGCTGGGGGCAGCTCCTGCACCCTGAGCAGAGCCCATGGCTCAGGGAGGGGACAGGACACGGGGCAGGGTGAGAAGGGCAAGGGTGACCCCCTGGCAGGGCTCTCTGAGCTGGGACCGGGAGGTTTGTGTGTGCTACAGCGGCACAGAGGTGACACCAAGGATCAGCACGGGATGGTTTGGGTTGGGAAGGACCTTAAATCCCATCAGAGCCATGGGCAGGGACACCTCCCACTGTCCCAGGCTGCTCCAAGCTCCATCCAGCCTGGCCTTGGGCATTTCCAGGGCTGGGGCAGCCACAGCTGCTCCAAGAATTCCATCCCAGCCCTTCCTCACCCTCACAGGGATCAATTCCTTCCCAATATCCCATCCAACCCTTCCCTCTGTCACTTTGCAGCCATTCCCCGTGTCCTGTCCCTCCATCCCTTGTCCCCAGTCCCTCTCCAGCTCTCTTGGAGCCTCTTTAGGGGCTCTAAGCCTTTCCCAAAGCTGTCTCTTCCCCACAGGAGCTCTGTCCCTCTGCTGGAGCAGCTGAACCCCTGATGCCACCCTGGCACCAAGCATGGGTCTCACTGCCTCTGTGGTAGCTCCTGGTTGCCCCAAGCTGGCCCAGGTAGAGTAATTTCATTATTACTTTCAATATGAAGCAGATTTTAAGACCAAAAAGGTTTTGCTGAAGAAAACAAACGCTGTTTTGCAGTGAAGCACAAGCAAGCACGCGTCTCCACAACCTAAAATTTTTCTCAGCAAATTAATGCTTCTCTCCTTTAGTGAAAAGCAACTAAATAACATTCTCAAAGAACTTTCTGGCTGAAGTCATTGGCAGATGAAAAATAACGAAAGGCTTCTAAATGCCCAAATCACGCTCAATTTTTTTTGGTTTCTTTCCTCATTTAAATGCAGCGTATCTGCTGCTTTCCCCTCTTTTGTGCTGAGACAAAAGGTGAACCAAATCCTGGTTTAGGGAATCAGCTGTGTGAGGCCATGTGTAAAAACGGGTAAACAATAACAATTCCTGTTTGCTGCAACTCCTCGCTCTCTCCAGATGGAATGCAAGGGCTGTGCCAAAGTCTGATAAAAATAGAAAACAGCCAGTGTCAGAGTCTGTCCCTTGCTCTTTTTTTGGGGTGGGATCTGCATGTTAATTTATTAATGTAGCCTTTTTTGGTTCATCAGTGGAGAGACTTGTTGTTGCAATGGAATAACACAGAGTGAAAGAAAATGAAGGAGCTTCAACAGCACAGAGACTTTGCCATCTACAGACACCACCACAGTCAGAGAATCATGGAATGGCTTGGCTTGGAAGGGAAATGAAAAATCATAGAATTCCAACCCTCTGCCATGGGCAGGGGCACCTTCCACTGTCCCAGGGTGCTCCAGTTTGGCCTTGGACACTTCCACAGCTCCTCTGGAAATTCCATCCCAATCCCTCCCCACACTCACAGGGAGGAATTTTTTGCCAATATCTAATGCAAGGGTGCCCTCCTTCACCTCAAAGCCATTCCCCCCGTGTTTTCAGTGGTAAACATCCCCTCTGCAGCCTCCCTGCAGGGTGTGTTTGACCCAGGAAATCTCTGCCCTTCTATTGGAGTTACCTCCATAGTTCAGAAATATTCCCGAATTTTTCCTGTTGGATACCTGAGTATCTAAGATAAAGGAAAAAATATCTTATTTTCCAAATCCTTGAGGAATGGTGTTCCTCCCCACAGAATCCTAAGAACGTGTCCCTTCCTTCCAAACCTTTAACATTCAGTGATGTTGTTGTGATCAATCTCAGTGGCTGATGGATCTGGTAATGAGCAGGAGACATTTTCAAACCTGGGGACAAAGTGGTTTGTTCAGTTCTGAGCCCTCAGAATGGACAGCTCGGGTCTGATGAACTCAAAGGAGAAATAAAACAAAAATTTTGTGGGATTTTTTTTTCTTTTTTTTTAAACAATGACCATAATTAATCATGAGATTAAACAAGAGCAGTGAATTCTCTTTTTTTTTGGATGTATGGTACATGTTCTCTACAGAGCAGTGAGGTGGGAGCTGGGATGTGCATTTCCCTGCAATCCTTGACCATTTGTCAGTTTGTGCCAGTTCATGTCTGCACACATGGAAACACAATGAGCCAGGGCTGAGAAAACAGAATTATTCCACCTAATTCCCAGAGGAAATGTTTCCAATCCTCTCACTCCAGACCAGGTGGAATCACAGCTAAGATATCAAGTTTTCACCCTTGAAATTAATTCTCTGTGCTGTTCATTTACCTTAATATCTTCCTTTGCACACTGTGAGGAATTAAGTGGTAAATAGTGGCAAACCTGATTAAAGTTTAAAGGCTTCACCTGACGCTGTCTCCCTGCAGTCTGTGCTGGAGGAACAGTAAAGAAACCTCAAGAGGTTTTCTTTTAATGCATTTTGAATCATGGATTGAGTAAATGATGCTGGAATTCCTGCTTTGTTTTCAAAAGGTTGAGGGCACTCAAGTGTCAGTAGCACAAAACAATTGCTTCTTGTAAAATTAAATAAAATAAAATGTACTAGGAGCCTCCCGAGATCTTTTGCCATTAAGTATTTCATCGCTCATCCCTGGAAATGTCAGGATTGCATTTTCTTCCCCCATCATTTATTTTCCTGTTTGTCAGCTGGAAGTTTCTTCAGCTCTGAGAGATAAGTTTGCCACGTCCCTCCTGGTGAGTAAGTGCCAATTCACTCTCGAAGGTGTAATTTGACTTTGTCATTTGTCACAAGAGCTGTCTGATTATGGGGTTGTTTAAAAACCAGCCCTGATGTCGTGCATCGTTTCCCTGATGGACAGCACAGAGGGTTTTGGAGCCTGCCAGACTTTAAAAACTTGTGTTGTTTACTCTGCATCATTGCTGCCAGCACCATGGGAATCAGATCCTGTACATTTGTGTGACCCATGAACCATTTGTGGTGTTAAAAACCATCTCAGCTACAAACCCAGCTTTGCTCCAAATCCATCTCAGCTATAAATCCATCTCTGCTACTGAACCTCCAGCTCTGTTTAGTTTTTCTGGGTTTTTTCCCCCTTTTTTATTCTTTGTAGCTTAAATGTGGTGACTGAGGCAGAGCACAGAGGTCAGTGGGGGTGATGCTGCCTCAGTGCCTGGGGGAGATCAGGGCTGAGTCCACACAGAATCCCAGATTGGTTTGGGTTGGAAAGGACCTGAAATCCCATCAGAGCCACCCCTGCCATGGCAGGGACACCTCCCACTGTCCCAGGATGCTCCAACCAGGCCTGGGACACTTCCAGGGATCCAGGGGCAGCCACAGCTCCTCTGGGAATTCCATCCCAGCCTCTCTTCATCCTCTCAGGGAATAATTCCTTCCCAATATCCATCCATCCCTACCCTCTGGCAGTGGGAAGCCAGATTTTACATTTGTTCTTTAATTCCCTTGTCCCTCTCCAGGCTGGGAACAGGAAGAGGGCTCTGGTTACAGGGAAGCAAAACCCAAAACTCGGGTCCTGGCATGTGCCTTGAAGTGCTCAGTGTAGAGCCACAAGGACCCAGAGGAGCTCTGACATCCCAAAGG